ATATATATATACATACACACATATATATATATATATCTAAAACCCCACAGGGGTGGCTTTGGGAGTGCCAGTAGTTCTGGTAGCTCACCTAGTATGTGGCCGATATGACACTCAATGTGTAGTATGACAAGCTACACTGATCAGCCATAACTTTATGACCACAGAGAGGTGAAGTGAATAACATTGATGATCAAATTGCTGCAAAAGTTGATGCTGGTTCCGAAAGAAAGATGTCTGATCACACAGAGCAATGCAGTTTGTTGCGTTTGAGGCTGTGTAGCCACAGACAGGTCAGGGTGCCCAAGCCGACAATGGGCATGTGAGCATCAGAATTAGACCACAGAGCAATGGTAGAAGGTGGCCTGGTATGATGAATCACATTTTTTTTTACATTATGTGAATGGCTAGGTGCATATGTCGCCTACTTGGGGAAGAGATGGCACCAGGACACACTATGGGAAGGCAAGCCGGCAGAGGTAGTGTGATACTTTGGGCAAGGTTCTGCTGGGAAACCTTGGGTCCTGCCATGCATGTGGATGTTACTTGGATGACACATACCACCTACCTAAATTGTTGCTGACCAAGTACATGCCTTCATGGAAACAGTATTCCCTGAAGGCAGTGGTCTCTTTTAGCAGGATAATGCACCCCGTCATACTGCAAAACTGGCTCGAGAATGGTTCGAGGAACACAACAATGAGTTTAAGGCCTCCAAATTTCACAGTTCTCAATCCAATTAAGCATCTGTGGGATGTGCTGGAAAAGCAAGTCTGATCCATGGTGTGGGATGTGCTGGAAAAGCAAGTCTGATCCATGAAAGCCCCCACCTTACAACTTACAAATCTGCTACTAAGGCCTTGGTGCCAGATACCACAGCATACCTTAAGAGGTCTAGTAGAGTCCATACCTCAACAGGTTAGGGCTGTTTTGGGGCCAAAAGGGGGGCCTGCTCAGTATTAGACAGGTGGTCATAATGCTATGGCTAATCTGTGTATAAAGACAATGCCTACAGCATGAAGAGGATCAGTACTGAATCAATTTAATAGATTATTCCTTTCCAAGCGTCTTCAGTACAAGATGACAATGGTTCTAATAAAATAAAATGGCTTCCGAGTGTATCAATTGTATTGAGATTACACGTCATCATGGAGAGGTTCACCTGAAATTTTTACCAGGTTGCAGTCCGCTGCTATAGCACTCACATTTTGTGCCAGCTAGGCTGGATGAACCATAGGGACTCTATCCTGTGAGGAGACTGTAGTCAGGAACTCGAGATTAATTCTAAAATATTTGATAAAGCTTGAAGCATTTCAGAGCAATCATTGCTCTCTCTTCAGGAGTAGCACAATGACAGACCAGCATACAGCTAAATGCCGTCAGAAGTGTTAATTTTGACATCAAATTTCATTTTCGACTTAGTCTTTTGATGAAAATCAATTTTTATTTTTAGTCATAAGATTAATTTTAATTTTAGTCTAGTTTTAGTCAACGAAATTCAAGTCGATTTTTAGGCAACTAAAATCTGATAGGTTTATTGGTTGTTCACATCTCCCTACTACAGGAAGTGCTCAGGAACCAAAAGCCAAATGCACTAGTGTGGGAACGAATTTTAATTTCGTTCCCAGAATTTGTTTAGTTTTCGTTGAAAAAGTCAATGAAAATTCGACGCATTTTCGGCATCGTTTTCATCTCGTTAACGGCTCTAGTATTTTGTTTTCGTCAGAGAAAAATATCCAAGCGACGAAAACAAAAACAAATTTTTAGTTAACGAAAACACTGGCCGATAGAAGGGGATATAATGAAAAGTATCACAATTCCACTCTTAAGACGCAAAATATTCCGACCATAGTCATTCCAAAATTATCGAAAGCAATAAAGCAGTGTGTTACTAGCGCTGAAAGCAAGAACGATACTGCTAGTGCTGAAGGCAATGAAGTACGAAAAATAAGTGTTATGCCAATTGTTAAATCCAATATGGAGTCACTTGAAAAGTGCAGTAATAATGCATGTGTAATGTAAGTTAAACAAAGTGCAACATAGTAATACATAATGTGTAAAAGCAATAGTGCTTTAAAAGTGTGTAAGAATATAATGCATGTGTAAAACTTCACTTACACATCCTTACGTACTTTTACAAAGTTATAACTCATTTATGTGTTCCTCTTTGTTTACTATACATTATACAGCACTATAACTGCACTTTTGCAGGGACTCTATATTGGATTTTACTATCAGCAGAACACTATTAACTCATTTGTTTTCTTACTTTCAGCACTAGCACTAAATCTCTTGCATTCAAATCTATTAAAACACTTTTTTTTTCTTACTAATCACAGGTATTTATAAAACACTGACAATTTACACAGTGCTTTACATACTGTACATTCACATCAGTCCCTGTCCCCAAAGAACTTAAGTTTTATACCTAATATGAATATACACACATACTAGGGCCAATTTAGACAGGAACCAAGTATACATTTGAAATGTGGCAAGAAACCGGAGTACCTTGAGAAAACCCATATAAGCACAGGGAGATGATGCAAACTCAGTCTCCTGAGTTTTAAATTGTTTTTAGCTTTTCTTTTAATAGTTTATGAATGGAGTTGATCTGAATAGGTTTCATCCTGGAACTGAATTGTGATACTACTGATTATTTCCCCTTCTGATGAGCATCTACATCTACACACTTACCATGGGACAAAAACTGCAAAACTGGCACACAATGCTCTTTCAATGCACATCAAATTTTAGACCACCTGCATCTGTATAGAAAAACACAACTGCTCTCCTTTTTTTGTTTTAATACGGTTACATGGATTGTTTATTAGATAAAGGTGCTGCTAAATGTTTCTCCCCTCCCTATGGCGTGTTATTTTAGTGGGTTGTTGTTGGTCCAATTAAAGTAATTCCAACTAGACAGGAAAGGGTCTGATGGGCACCTGCACACATCACCCATCAACAAATTGCAGGTATGACAGTGATGAGAAATGTTAGAAAATCTTGTACAATCACTGATCCCCAAGATAAGCAGCTGTACTAGGTTTGTGCATAGGCATCCCTCTTCCTTTGCCTAAAGGACAAACAGGAATGCTCAGGTAACTTGAGCCATTCCACTGCACCTAGTACTTTACAAATCTCATAAGATATTCAAGCCCCCAAGAACTATCAGAAATGCCTATTAGATTACCCTGGGATAAAACATTGCGTAACAGTGGATTTGTTTTTAAACTGATCACCAGAAATGTATACTTTCTTGTTAATATGAAAACAGATCTCTGTTGCGTTTTTTTAATTGGAGCGTTGGCATAATGCAACACACACAGTGAACATAAGTACAAACCGTCCAGAAGGAAGGACAGTGTCAGCACAAATTCAGAGATGATTTGAGGATCTACAGAGAGTGATGCACAAATAAGCTACATTTTCGTTAATAGCTAGGGTACTTCAATTTAGGATTTAACTGAGCTTAGTGTCACTTTAATGGAGCCGGAAGGGGAGTCTATGATCTCAAGAGGCCAAGACAGCTTTTTGGACATAATACGAGAGATAAGGCAAATGTTTCAAATCATTTTAGAGACTCAATCCCCACTGAGAAGAATGGCTGTATCATGCTGTGGGTATGCTTCTCTGCAGCAGGCCCTGAAAGCCGAAAACATGCAGCAAAATACAGGGAAATCCTGGAAAAAAAATCTGATCAATCTGCGACACAACAAACCCAAGCATTAAGCCAAAACTACACAAAAATGGCTTAAAGTGTGTTTTCACTGTTGCAGTCAAACTGGAATAAAACATACTTTATGTTTGTTACATGTTCCCTATTCATAACTTAGCTTTTTACTTGCTTAAAATCATACGTAGCTTCCCCCTATGTAATGTTAAGGAAGGATGTGGGGTGGAGCCAATGGTTACTGTAATAAACCTTGTCTGTACTGTGCTGGCAGATATCAATTGTAAACTAGATTTAAACACAGTCTCCTAAGGTTTAAAGTTCTAAAAGGCCTGTATGTTAATGAGGAAACTGTGCGTCTACTCTATGGGGACAGATTCCCTTTTGAACTTTCAAAGACCTCCTACAAAGAAATATCTAAAAAGGAAAGAAATACTTTTTAAAACAAACACTTTTAGGTATGCTGTGTAATTGGAAACACAAACAATGAGGTTTTCTAAAATATGACTGCAAAAACATACTTAAAACAACAACGTTAATGTCCAAGAGAATTTTAGGCCGTTTACTCATGATCCACACGCACCCTGACAACAATTTCAACAGTTTTGCAAACAGGAATAAAGAAAAATTGAAGTCAATTTCAGTTGATCAATTTAAAAAAAATATAGACAAAAACACAATCATCAAATGATGGCTTCCCCAATAGTAACTTATCATTAACACATTATATAATTTAAAAAAGTTATTAGGCTTCTCATGGAAGTAGAGCTGCTACAAGGGCCCGTGTCATGAGGCTTTGGGTTTGTCTGGATGGCATCAGTTTAATCTGCTTCTGAGATCATTCAGAATTCATTGACAGGTACATCAGACCTGCGTCAAGTGGTGCAGGTGCATTTGATCTGCAGCTGATCTGCTTTAAGTGGGTTTTGCATTCCCATAGACATGTATGGGAATTCAAAACCCATTTAAGGGAACAAACGCATGTTGACAAAATACTTAATACTGTTTGCCAGGCAGTGATTTAGTGAATAGATTTAGCTCCTAGAACAGAGTTTTGTGGCATAAATGAACCAGGGAAAGGCCACCTCCATCAGATTTGAACAGGTGCTGTGTTTTCTGAAAATTCCCTTTTTAAAAGGGGGATTTTCAATGCCAGAAGAGAAAAAGACATTATAACAGGAAGCAAAGTTCCTACATAAATTAACTTCACAGTTTAAGTGTCAAAAACACCCTCTACTTTAAACTAAATGGTTGGTTTGAGTAAAACTTTCCATTTAATAGCCTGCATTCAGTTAAAAACAAAAAGGGTTAACACTATTGCAGATTATACACAACTGTAGGCAATGTTCTACATTAAGTTATGTCCTTTCCTCACTAAGAGCCGTTCTAAATAAATGTACTATGCAAGCAATCATTTCACTGTTAGTAATGTGAAGAGGAAACCCTCATTTCCATAAACTGCTGCCAAGAAAATATAATATGTGCAAGTTCAGATGGATTTTTTTTTCCCCTTTACCAGCCAGCGCACACGAAGGAATACTAAACACAATAGAATTCCCCGTGAGGTACACAAGCGCTTGTAACAGCACACAGAAGGAAAATGCATGCAGAGCATGAAGCGGGTTTAAATGAACACAACGCAGCAACATTTCAACAGAAAAAAAAAAAAAAGTAAAACAATTGCTGTAATTTCCCCCCCCCAAAAGACATTATATATATAGTGTGTAAAATCTAGATAAGAACAGAATGCAATGATTTGCAAATGTCAAACTCATATTTTATTCACAATAGAAAAAAATATCAAATCTTTAAACTTAGAAAATGTACCATTTTAAGAACAAAATAAGGTAATTTTGAAATTGATGGCAGCAACAAGTCTCAAAAAAGTTGGGGCAGGGTCATGTTTATCACGGTGTAGCATCTCCTCTTTTAACAACACTGTAAATGTCTGGGAACTGAGGAAACTAGTTGCTGGAGTTTTGGGAGAGGAATGCCATCTCCATTCTTGCCTGATATAGAATTCTAACCGCTTAACAGTCCTGGGTCGTCGGTCATATTTTTTGTTTCAAGATGCGCCAAATATTTTCAATTGGTGAAAGGTCTGGGCTGCAGGCAGGCCGGTTAAGCACCCGGACTCTTCTACTAGGAAGCCATGCTGTTGTCAAAAAGAATGTCAAATTTCGATTCGTCTGACCACAGAACAGTTTTCCACTTTGCGGCAGACCATTTTAAATGAGCTTTGGCTCAGAGACGACGGCAACGTTTTTGGATCATGTTCAGATGTGGCTTTTTCTTTGCATGATAGACCTTTAACTTGTATTTCTGGATGGCACGGCGAATTGTGTTCACAGATAATGATTTTTGGAAGTGTTCCTGAGCCCATGCAGTTCCATCACGGAATCATGCTTGTTTTTAATGCAGTGCCATCTTGATATCATGATATATTTAAAGATTTTGCAATTATATGTTGAGAAACAAAATTCTGAAAGTGTTCAACAATTTTCAGACACAGCTTTTCATAGATTAGTGAACCTCTGCCCATCTTTACTTCTGAGAAACTCTGACTCTCCAAGTTGCTGTTTTTATACCCAATCATGTTACCGACGTGTAGCCAATTAACCTAATTAGCTGCAAAATGTTCTTCCATGTTCGTACCACTTACTTTGCCAGCTTTTTCTTGCCCTGTGCCAACTTTTTTGACATGTGTTGCTGCCATAAATTTCAAAATTACCTTATTGTTTTCTTAAAATGGTACATTTTCAAAGTTTAAACATTTGATATATTTTCTATTGTGAATAAAATATTGGCTTATGAGATTTGCAAATCATTGCTTTCTGTTTTTATGTAGATTTTACAAAGTGTCCCAATTTTGGGGATTTGGGGTTGTATATAGATAAATACATATACATATATACACGCACACAAAATGTGTACTAAACAACAGAGTGACTAATAAAGTGCTTAATTTTCTGTTGAACAGGGAACAGCATGGCATCCCCCTCCAATGCCTAATGGCTCACCGAACAGTTCCCGCTTCTCATTGGTTCTCCTCCTCCTTACTAGATCCAACCTCTGCTTAAACTGCAATACTGACAGCTCTGCTGGCATATTCACAAACCAAAACCTATGCAATGCTTTATGAATAAACTTAATGTGGCAAATAGAACTGAATAAATGGCCTGGGAAACCTGGATCTCTGAGCCTTTAACATTTGTATTTCTGGCTGGGCAAGTATAAGTGTGTCTGGACTATTTTAGTCAGCCCGATTCATTGTTTACAGCAAAATTGTAGTTTTGGATAGAGCGGGCAAAGTTAGAACCTCTGTCAAACTTTTATTGTTGTCTGTATCTCCATTTTCACTTCCTCTGGTTTCAACCTCAAGTTTCAAGTATTACAGCTTCCTTTTTAATGTGATCATGCAACAATGTGACCCTCCCCTTTCTTTCTCTACAGTTCTCACAGTGATCCAGATCTTCATTAATTATTTTCTGTGTTTAAGTTACACTAAAGAAAATTAAACTAAAAGAAAAGAATGCCCCTGGGATGTGTTTATCAGAAAGCTGCTTGGGCAAATCATGCCATAGCAATAACAGAAAATGAAAACCCAGAGAGCCGACAAAAATTGGGATTGGTACCATCACATTAGAAATTCTTAGATACCTTGGCGTCACCATCAGGCAGGAACAAATAGGCCCCACTCTTATCTCTGTTACTTGTTGTACCATACCAATTAAATGCAACTTTCACATCATGAGTTTTTCCACTTTCCTTTATCTTCATTTTCTATAGAATAAAAGGAAAAATAACAGATAGCAAATCAATGAAGAGCAAAATGGAGCAAAGCAAAAAAATAAAAATGTGGCATATGGCGTTTGTTCCCCCCCCCCCAATTCATGGCACATATACATAGACATTTTTCTCTCTAAACACATTAGATGGATGAGTTCCGCATATTAGAGATATTTAAAATACAATGAGGTTGCTTTATTGATCACCTGTCATATGAAGCTTAGCTTCCAGGGCACATTACACTCTGCCTATATTTCTTTAACATGCAATGCTAGAAACAAAAACAAGGGAAACAGATAAAATTATGAAAATCTAAAAATGAACAATACCCCAATCGATACAGCAACACTATCCCTATGGCAGTATACAATGATGAGGGCATTTAAAATATTACTTTTCTAAAAGCTGCTTTATCATACTATGCACTTGCAAGTAATAAAAAAAAAAAAGGTGTTTTAACCCCTTCATGACTGAGGCCCTTTTTTCCATTTTTGCACCCATGTTATATTCCATATTTTAGGCCTGAAAATGACGTAAAACCCCCCAACATTATATATTTTCTGAATGCCAAGACCCGATAGAATAAAATGGTGGTAGTTGAAAATTTTTATGTTGCGCAATATTAGCGCAACTCCTTATTAAACCCCAAAATTTAGTGACAAATTTAATTAAATGCCCCAAAACACAACAAATTACCCATTTTTTAAATGAAATATAAAAGATGAGGTTACAACGAGTAAAACGATACCCAACATGCCCAGTTTACAGATTGCGTGCGACCGTGAAACGGCGAAAAACTGCAGTACCCCAAAAAGTCAATAAAAGACACTTTAAAAGCCCCCACAGGTCATCAATTTAGAGATACCCCAAAATACTGGCCCTAGAATTATTGCTCTCACTCCGGCGTGCGCGGCGATACCCAACATGTGTAGCGCGTTCGTCGTTTTCATGCGTAGGCGCACCCGACGCGTGTTTACGTGGCGACGCGCGTGCTCGCGGGGGCGGGGTACTTTTAAAATTTTTTTTTTATTATTATTAGATTTATTTTATTTCATTTTAATTTTAAAAACTGTTTTTTTTTTTTTTTTTACTTTACTTTGACTGCTATCACATGGGGGGGCTTGCAAGCCCCCCCATGTAATAGCAGATGGTGGTGACAGGTCCTCTTTAAGGTGATGCTGGGGGTCCAAAAGACCCTCAGAGTCACCTTTACACTGGAAATAAGCTATTGAAGTGCAGATCGCACTTCAATAGCTTATAGCTGGGCTGCAGGAGCCCAGAACTGACAGCCCAGGGACCGGAAGTGATGCAATCTGCATCGCTCCCGGTCCCATAGAACGGGGAGGGGATCGATGAACGGAAGTTCGTCGACCTCCTCCCCAGCTCCCCGCGGACACAAAGATCGCCGGTCCCGGGCCCGTAGGAGGGGCAACGGAGCCCGGGAAGCACGGCGGGGGTGTCCGGCGGGGGGGGGCGGCCCCTTCTTCGGGACGCAGAAGCGATCTGGCGACAGGTAAGTCGCCAGGATCGCTTCTGTTGTAAAGCCGACAGTCGGCTCTACAAGTTTAAACAGAGTCCCGGCGGCAAAAGTCGCCGGGAGTCTGTTTAAACAGCCCCGATGCTGGCGACGTACACTGTACGTCGTCAGTCACGAAGGGGTTAAGAGGACTATAGTATTACTCTCTGAACAAAACTATAAGCTTATGTTCCCACTTTTCAAAACTAAAACTGTACTATTCATTGCCGTATGAAGGTTTATTAACCAAGGAAAATGTGGTCAAATTCGTTTTAATGAAGAAAATTTAAATATATTCTTTGTTGAGACATGTTGCATTAGCCAACTGTAGAAATGTCACCAACACACCAATCCTTTTAGAATAGCAAAAGCTTAATTTATTGAAGTTCCTTGTCACATGAACAAGCGCTTTCGGGGCCACACAGGGTGCCTTCATCAGGCTTCAGCCTGATGTGTGGCCCCGAAAAGCGCTTGTTCATGTGACAAGGAACTTCAATGAATGAAGCTTTTGCAATTCTAAAAGGATTGGTGTGCTGGTGACATTTCTACAATTTTCTGATATTTGCGGTGCCATCCACAGTCTCAGACTTTCGGTAAGGAGTGCAACAAGGATAAGTACTTAATGTTGCATTAGCCATCCCATTCTAAATTAACCAGTTGTCAATGCATGAAAAAAAAAACTATTTGGGATATTTTGTTAAAGCACCATATAAGCAGTGTAGCTGGCCTATAACTAATGTATAAAGTCTACAGGTTGCCAAAATCTATCACTGTGAAATGCTCATTATTGATTGCATAGATTTATTTGTTCAAACTTGTACAAACAATAGTAAAACCTACTCCTAGGCAAAATCCCTTTAGGGTGCGTTGGGCTGGTGCTTTCTCTACAGTCTAATTCTGAGATTTATATATATTTTTATGTTGTGTACGTTTTTACATATAGTCTTAATTTAAATAGAAAATTAACAGGTCATTACCTCAAGAAGACCGGACGTCTCTGAAAAGCCAAGCTTTAGGTAGGAATTCTCTAAAGTTAAGTCCCGGATTATGTCATCCAATTCACTGATATGGAAGACTCCATCAGATGTGATTTTATTTCTTCCTCTAGTAAAAATGGTATAATCTGCCTTCACAGTTTCTGGACTTTCGGCTTCCACTAGTTGATATACAGCCAGACCAAGAGGGGGTAAATATGCCAAAAATGAGACCTTGGAGAGCCAAAAATAAAAATAAGAGTACGAATCACTTAAAGAGAATCATTATTCAATTAAGAACTATAGTCAGCAGTTGACAATCTTTTTTTTTTAGTACAAATTTGATAAGTTCCATTTGACATTAACCACAAAAAACAAAACAAAGATGTCCAGTATCTGTAATAGGACGGTGACTTTTGTTGCTGCTAGTGGACACATATGAAGACTAACCTGTAGTCACCCTGTGGCTATTATGTACAGGAACCTCTATGAGGACAGCACAGCCACCAGAATACCTCCCCCCTCCCCCCCCCAATGTAGTATATTGCAGACCATGCAATGGTGTACTGACTGGGCAGGTCATTCCCAGAGCTGTCCTAAATCCCTTTCATGGACTAGTCCCTGCAAACTCAATCTGCTCCCATGCAGCTTGCCAGGAAAAAATTTGTGAACAGGAATTTTGGGAAATTATTGTATTGTTTGCCTTTTAAGTATAATCACATTTGACATGATTGCTGTTTTATACTGTCATTATTGTATTACATGCACAGATTTCCTTCCTCATACACTTTCACAGAAGTAACAATAAGGTGCAACCACTAGGCAGCACTACTAAGCAGGAAGTACAGCACAGAAGGCATTTGTAATGATCAAGTGATGCCTTTTATGGGTATAAAATATTAAAACCTATACACAGAAATGAGCTTTATAACATGTAAACATTCACTGTTTAGTGGTGTTAATGTATTTTGGAGCAAAAGTATAATTCCAATTCAAAGTGCTCCTTAGCACTATGATTTTACTTCACCCGAAACAGAAAAGTCAGTTTTAATAAGCACAGAAAAGGCATCCAATTCTCACCGATGTATTGATTGCACACTATAACCTGAAAAAAAATCGATTAGCATACACAGACTAAAGTTTTGATATACATGGTTCCCACAATTTAAAAATTATTGAACACCTGAAAAGTTATATAGAATGCAACAGAGCTGGAACTAGCATGAGCAATAAAGGCTCTTTATTAAACAGTCCTTATCTACATAGCCCCCTCCAGTGTTCATTGGAGAACAGCAAGTGCTGATGCTGCAATTGAGAAGCATATTAGGACTGTATACTCAGCTCACCAAACAGAGCTTCTGTCTGCAGGTCTACACACCAGCTACAAACTAGAGAGAAAGTATAAAGTACACTTGATTATTAGTAGCTCCTAACATCCTTTGCATGCTGTGACCAAGTGGATTATACAGTAGGTCTCAAACATCCTGCCTTGTGTTTTAACACACATCATCATGTACTTTACTCTCGAACATCTGCTTTCCACACCTCTGCTCAATACAATGTAATAATAGTACATGTATTTGCCTACTGTGTAATGTTTGTCAGCTCTTCGAACGTCAGACTGCAATTGTGAACACTAACTCATACCTGATACGTGTCCTGAGAAACCACAGTAGCTCCATCCCAAACTGCAGTGATCTGAGCTTTCACATATTTTCCTGCTGCATCCATCACCTTGATTTTTGGAGAATTAACGTACACAGAAACAACAGACAAACGCTCTTGTTCGAAAGGATTAAAGACTGCATGGGGCCTGTAACAGACATAATTTACACTTGTAACACTTAATTATTCTTCTGTTAAAGTTTAGGTGTTTAGCTTTAAAAAAAGGACCAGCAATGTTCTGACTTGCTGATATAAATAAGCCTGTAATTCTGGAAGCAAAAACCAGAATTAGTAAGTAGTATCGGTAATCATTACTAAGAAAAGTTTCACTGTATTACTAAAAGGTATTGTTAAAGCAACCAAGTTACAAAAACATCTTACATGTACCAATGCTGCAGAATATATTAACGCCTTCCCAAACGATGACGGGATTATATCGTCGTAATCGTTCAGTTAATTACCGACCTGTGATGGGATAATCCCATCCTGAGGTACAATGAGCGAGGGTCCGTGGAGGGATCAGGGCTCACTGAGTTACTGCTGTTGCTGGGGTCCAAGGCAGACAATTAACAGCAGATTAGGTGGTCACAGCACTATGATCACAGCAATAGCTGATCGCTGTGATCACAGAGCCGTGACAGCCACTAAGATGGATTGCAGCTCACTGTGTTGTGTAGCGGTGAGCCGGCTCACAGTTTGTAACTGTATAGTGTTACAAACTGTAGGATACTGCATTCTCCTCAGAGATACAAAGTAACAAAGCCCCTGTAAATAAAAAATAAAAAAATAAAATGTAAAAATAAAAAAGGGAAAAAAAAGGTTCAAAAGAAGTTAAACTTTAAAAACAATAAGTTCAATAATAAACATAAGACAATATAGTGACGAGGAGGCTATTAAAGATGGGAGACAAGCATACCACATTCTAAAATTGTTCCAAACTAAAATTGTATTTCATTTTATGACCTATAACTCCCCCCAAAAAATGAAATCCCAGACATATGATATACCTTCTAAATCAGAATAAAAGATTTTTTATTATGAATTTCTTTCTGAAAGCTAGAATAATCATGGACACATTATTATTGCAAAAAAAAAAAAAAAAAAAGTATCAAATTAAAATCCATTTTGTCCTTTAAAAAAACGGTATATAAATTATGGTTAAACGCATGGCAAAAATGGCAAAACTGCTCTGGTCCCCCAGAACGAAAAAAAATTCTGAAACTTTGTCACTATGGGGTTAAGGATATTATGTACACTGAGGGAACAAGTCATTGAGGGTGAGTTTTATCTGTTGAAATCTCACAACAAAAAAACTAAAGTAAGCAAAAAAAGGGAACAAACTATTTTTGAGCACAACACTAGTACAAAACATGTGGCCCAACTTTCCAGAGTTGAGGTTTCCCTAAAGCCTATTTTTGAGAGCCTGCCTCGTTTGTGTTTCACACCACGATTACTACAGATTATCTCTCTACCTGGACTTAAGCCGTTGGTGCTATGTTAATTAACTATGTGGCCCAACTGTATAAAGCAATGCAGACAGCATGGAAGAGAAGCCCTTTAAATGCTGGATGCCGACTCTGAAATCTCACTGAAGCCTGCTTCTGATGGTTTGGGGTGCAATGAACCATCATCTGAATGACATACAGTATGTCAACACTTTTGCAATTAGTTGTAGCAAGTTTTTCATTCATCCAGTGAACTGTGATCCACAGGAGTAGCTCTATAAAACACCAAACATGAACTGAGCTTGGAGCAGTAATCTGCTCCCATCACCAAAAATAACTTGGAGATATTAGGGAAGTACCAATTTCCAGTAAGGATCCAATACCAATCAAATCCACAACTGTGCAAAAAATGTGTAAACATATTTATCATGAAATAGAACTTATGTGGAATGCTCTTTTTTTCCTGATATCTGAAATTACTTCAGGAATATGGGTATGGACAATAAAATGGTAGAGTGTCGTGTAAATGCTATGCACATACTAAAGTGAAGAGCAACAAAAGGTATTTACAGTGCAACCAAAATGGAATTGCATAAGACTTAAACTGTATGATCTTCTCCAAACTGCCACTATTTGCATACTTGACAGCTGACATGGGCTCCCTTACTTCTACGTCTTTGCCACAGATCTATATGAGGCAAAGACACTGATTGGCTACCTTTGTCGAGCAGCCAATCTGAGCTTTTACTTCACAAAAAGCCACAGCAATGAGGTGAAGTGAGGGCAATGACTGATGAAACCCAGAGGTTCTTTTTAAAAAAAGGAGCAGCTTGGAAAATTCATATTTAAAACATACTAATCTAAGGGACAAACATAAAGGTGAACTTAACACGATCTCCACAATATATAAGATTGGTAGGGACATAATATATAAAATAGGTAGCGATGTCGATACCGAGCAATTGAGCGAGTACTCTTACTCGCCCAAAAGCTCTGATACTTATCCAGATACCAGAACTTCAGTCATGGGGAGATTTCCTCTGACTGGCAGAGCCGCGAGGGAACATGGAGCTGGCTTCCCGGCCAATCAGGAAGCCGGGCCACGGGTAACAACCCACCTCCCAGCTTCCTGATTGGCTGGGAAGCCGGCTCAATGCTGATTGACTGGGAAGCCGGCTTCCAAGTCAATCAGCATTGAGCTGACCAAAAAACATGGAGCCGGCTTCCTGGCCAATCAGGAAGCCTGGCAGCAAAATATAAATATCGGTACTCGTACTCGATACTGAAAAACTGGTATCGGTGCATCCCTAATAGGAATTATTTTAGGCAATATATGACTAGGTAACAATGACTAGAAAATGTGACTGGAATCGTAACAGCTATGTAACAAACTGACATTTCTTATACTATGCATGCTATGTAGGTATTAAAGCAGAACTCAAGGCACATGGTAAATAGAGCTGCAAACCTCTGTTCTCTCAAATGTATGGCCAGGGAAGAATTTCTAACCATTTATTTCTGTAAAACAATACTTTTCTTCTTCTGCCCTGTGACATTATCATGCATAGGCAAAGTAGAGCAGGCAGAGGTAGTATGAAGGCATGGGATCCACTACATCAGCCCTGCCCAACTGCAAGGGGGGTTCGTGAGACCAGTTGCTCAGTGCAGAGCCGCTGTGATGACTAATCACCTGAACAAAAAGCTAAGATGCTGTGACCCTGCTGAGGCAACTTTCAAAAAGACAAGCGAATGAGACAAAGGAGACCAAGCTTATTGCTGTACTTATGCATAATTTTCTATCTGCCCCGAGTTCAGCTTTAAATACGTAATAAAATGTATTAATTCAGAATTAAGAGACTACTTATTTTTCAACCCAATTAATAGTTTCAAACACACTCACCTTGGATGACCCGTGACTTTAATAACGGTCTTTTGGGGTAATGCATCCTGGGCTTTCTGCACTTCATCCTAGAATACAAAAAAAATGCATGAACTCCAAGTGTAACTCTGAAAGCCTATTTAATAATAATTGCAGTCCCCTGTTATATTGCATAACACTGTTAAGTGTTTGTACTGGAAATGATTGTTATCTAGAGAGTAGCCGTTTCATTATTGCAGAAAAAAAAATTAATGAACGGCCATAAAGTAGAGAGAGAGAACAGAAAAGTACAATTTAATTTTACAATGTGCCCCAAGACTTATCAGAAAAACAAAAGTGCAGTAACATATTTTACTTGTGCTGTATGTAAACATTTCTGAAATCCAACCCTACAGTACCAACAGATCGTGTTTTCTCAATGCTCTCCAATCAGAAGACCTGTAGAAAATACTAATCCAGTGATGTGGATTATATTACTCAAGCAAGATGAAGGGAATACTGCATGCACAGATTTTACAGCTTAAGGCCTGACTCCAGCAAAATAATTTTTAGTAGTCAAATTTTGTGAAGAGTTGGGAAGCGTTAACATTTCGGTCAGGGTTTAATTTCTGTAGCCATTGGGGAGATTTACCCTCACTTCCTGTCCCTGGGACATCCATGCAGCAAATGGTGAGTGTGGTTGTCAATGGGAAAGGAAGGCACGGACAGCGTTATTAAAACATTTTCAGATGTCCTAACCACTTCTCTCTCTACTAAAATCTTTTTCCTGGCTTTGCCTATGTCTCCAATTGGCGATATTTCCCATGACTTCATGTCCTAAGAAGAAGTTAAAAGAGAACTATGGCCAAACCTTTTTTGGCATTAGTTCTCTTTTGGGGCACAGGAGGATACTAATGTCCTCCTGTGACCCAAAACTCAGCATATAGCACGCTATTGCCCCTGATATGGTGGCAGTGCAGAGCTGCACTGCAGCTGGGAAAGATCCCGCCAATATTGTCAGGATCCACCTTGCTGCATGATTGACAGCTGGTTCTGCCTCTGTAGAGTCATAGCCAGCTGTGCTCGCCCCTTTCCCTTTCTGGCCCTCCAGTAATCGGTTTGTGATCGCTCAGTTCTTGATCTATAGAGCCGACGTGAGACAGCTGCAGTATCACACGATTGCTCTAACTATGGGTATGAGTGTATTTCTCTCTCTCTCTCTATAGTTGTCCTTTAAAAGGAGAACTATGGGTTTAAGGCTTTTCCCCATAGTTCTCCTTAGGGTAACGGGAGGATACAAACTAGCGTCCTCCCGTCACCCTAGGCTCAGGCTGTAGCTCGTGGTATACTGAGACGCCGCAGTATACCGCGAGCTGCTCCTCAGCTGCTCAGGCTGTAGCTCGTGGTATACTGACAGCTGGCTCTGCCTATCTAGGAGGCAGAGCCAGCTGTACCCGCCCCCTCCCCCGTCTGTTCCGCCAGTCAGCGCTGGCGGAGCGGGGAGAATCCAGCCCCTCCCCTGCCACGGCAGAGAGCCATGACAGGATCGAGAGGTGAGCGAACGCCGTTATGTGTTCCCTCACTTCCCGATCTACTGAGCCGACCTGTGACAGTCTCAGTGTCACAGGTCGGCTAAAACTATGAGGTGAGTGAAAGGGCACTCACCTCATAGTTCTCCTTTAAGGGAAATCTCAGTAACAGGGGCACATATTGCACTGAAAACCCGAGAGGCTCTAACCTGTAGCCGCTATATCCAAAACTAAATAAAAAGGTTTGGCTCGAGTTGAACTTCCAAGTTTACATTGGTCTGGGTCAGTTGGCAACATTAGGTGTCCAGGAAATGAGGAACTCTACCAAAACCTTTTTCTTCTTTACTTTTTAGATACAGAGGGAATCTTGTACCTCTTGCTGTGTCTCGCATTAGGGAGGATTCCTCTCACTTCCTGCCCTGGTGTCTCAAATTATCCTGACAAGAAACAAGAGAAATCTTCCAAATTGGACAGGGACAATAAAATCCTGACAGGGGCCCCGATTCTTACCATCTCTACTGTAAACAAGTTTAGAATGGTCTGTGTCAGTTTGAGAGATTCATGTGCAGGAAATGAGGAAAGTTTCCAGACAAATACAGGCAGCAATAGAAACCTGTCAAAAAAGTGTTTTATCACAAAAAAATAAAAACACAAGCTGCTGAGCACTTGAGCTCCCATTTACCGTTTTTAGACTTTCAACACAGAGCTTATGAAAAGCTGCCAATGGGGATCCAGAATACCTTTCATGGGACATGACAGTGTAAGAAAAAAGCTCAAAAGAAGATAAATGGAGAAAAAACATGTGTTGTATTTATAAAAATGACTGTCATAATTGTAAAACCTAAAACCACAGGCATACGCGGAGAAAGAGAAGGGTTAATACACCTTTCACCAACTATGCCATCAATTGCCAATGTCTTCATGATATATATTTACTGAAACATCTTTAGAATCCGACACACTTCTAGAAGTAACAAATGCCTGGTCCCCCTGTGAGCTCTGCGTTTCCTTTCTCCAGACCCTACATCAATTCTGTGGCCTTTATTGATTTACAGGCAGGAGAATGGAACCACCGTAAGCAGAGGGGGACCAGGAATCCAGGAGTCATAAATGTGTCAGAGGCTGAAGATATTCTCAGCCAGTATAGCTTGTTTAGACAGTGAAATTCGAGCATGAGTGGCAGGAGGCGTAAGCACTACCCTCTTAGCAAGCACGTGTTTGATTTTAGGTTTGACATTAAGTCACTAAGTTGTTCCCAGGACCCTGGCCATGAAAATCTACTACTGGCCTTGCCAAAACCCACCCCAAGCCCAGGTATATTGGTAAGGCCGATATAGGAAATTACTAATATTTCTTTATCTTCCATCTTTAACAACTAACCCACCATATTGAAGAATGGAGTAGAGGGGTTGTAGCTGTACATGTCTTTATTCTTCAGAATAAGAAGATGTGCTGAATCTACTATCACTTTTTTCAGGTTCATCAGTGAGTGGAATAGCCTGTATATTTAAAAAATAAACAAAAAATAAAAACAAAGAAACTAAAAAGCAACAAAACGACATAAAAACACTAAATTAGGCTGAAGGGTGTTACCAATGCACCCAATGCCCCACCTTTCCATCAGTCGCTGCAGACAAAGAACTAAATTTAAGGTAGTTCACATTATTAGTTAACATCGATTGACCTGTCTGAGGTAAGCATAGTGTTTACTTGTTTAATGCTATCTTCCTCCATTAAATAATGGTCACATGCACTGAACTAAGTAAGGTAGTCTGGTTGGTTAATGGATAAGCTCCCCCATCTACACTTTGCCAGCTGCCAGACTTGGCCTCAACACTACAAAAGAGCTGAGCCGTAGGAAAGCACCATCAAGAAAGCAGACACTGCTCTGGTCCGAGGCAGTAGTGACAGATATTTTCCCAAACCAAAAGGTATGTTTTTTTTTAGTGCTGGAGAGGGGGGGGGGGGGGCACTCTCAATATTTTAAACTTAAAGCCCAACTCCAGCATTGTATACCAGCAATGGATAAGAGTGATGAGTCTTCAGGAAACCACACTGGAGATCAGCTGAGTATTCTTTTAAAAGTGTAGGAAACATGAAGTTTGGCTTTATAGTGCAATTAAGTTTTTGGCGCCTCCCATTGTATACTTACAAGTTAGTAATAAAGTATTTATCATTTCTCTTTTTGTTATACATCATGGAGCGTGGTCAGCATAATTTTAAAAGGGCCACAGTACCACAGAGGGGGGATGTTCTCAGTCTAAGCAGATTGTTTGGATTAAAAAGAATTGCATCAAAAAGTATGTCAACTCAAACTTTTTTTTTTGTTAGTTCTTTTTGGTCTGCTAAATATACTATTGAAAGAGTTTTGTTATATGTATTCAATAAATATAAAAACATATTTGTAAATCCTGTCAGAAATTTTGTGAACTGAAAAATTTCTGTGCTGCACTTTCATCAGTTACGTTGTTTCCAGTTCTCTGTGAAGACTACAGACTTTCAGGTTATGAGGAGAGAGGGAGGGTAATGTAGCTCTGCCCTAGGGTGACAACGCTGCTTCTCCATAGATAAAGTACAGGCAGTAATGGCTGTTACACAAGGACAAAAAGTGTGTTACTTTGAGGATTACCGGGTAAAAATATAAAGAAAACTAACACAGCCACCTACTACAGATTTTCTTTTATTAACTGGGTAGGCAAATCATATCCGTCATTGATTTTAGGTCTAGAATAAAACTATTCTCAAACACCAAGTGCAATCTTCAAGAATAGCTCCTGTAAT